AATTTCAGAATTTCAGAATTTCAGAATTTCAGAATTTCAGAATTTCAGAATTTCAGAATTTCAGAATTTCAGAATTTCAGAATTTCAGAATTTCAGAATTTCAGAATTTCAGAATTTCAGAATTTCAGAATTTCAGAATTTCAGAATTTCAGAATTTCAGAATTTCAGAATTTCAGAATTTCAGAATTTCAGAATTTCAGAATTTCAGAATTTCAGAATTTCAGAATTTCAGAATTTCAGAATCTCAGAATTTCAGAATTTCAGAATTTCAGAATTTCAGAATCTCAGAATCTCAGAATTTCAGAATCTCAGAATCTCAGAATTTCAGAATCTCAGAATCTCAGAATCCCAGTATTTCAAAATCTCAGAGCGAGGTCCGGATGTGCTTAACTGTTTTAGATTGAATAAATGTAATTAGAGTTTAAAAAAATTACTGGGTGTCCATCTTCCCGGAAGACCTGTTTTGTAAAAAACTTGTAAATTTTCGGTATTTTCCGTAAAACCTTCTTTTTTCACATCTGTCCAAAATAATCCCGGGAGTTTTTCAAAGGTAACTCCAGACCTGTTGACTTGACCCAGTTTCCATAAAAACACAAAAACGAAAGTTTATTCACAACATCATTAAAAACGCAAAAAGGAAACAGTACCCGAAAAGAAACAAGAGAGAAGTAAGAAGAGAAAAGATCCATTGGAAAAATTGTAAACTAAATATTAATTGACAATTAGTAACTTATGATTAAAACGAAGAACGAAGTAGCTGACAATGACAGCAATAGAAATAGTTGCGAAGAATGTTGAGGCAGATATCAAAATTCCAAAACTAGCTACAGAAACGCAGAAAGTTTGTTCGTAATCCTTCAGTGAGCTTCGAAGGAAGGAAGAGGAATGAAGCAGTTGACTGTTATCCGATTTTGAAGAATCTATATCAAATACAGTAAGACTGTTGGCGTGAAGTGACATGGATGACAATCCCTTCGTAGATCTCTTTCTTCGAAGCGAATTGTTGCTTAGATTGCATTTTGGTGGCTACAAAATATTCATGTTTGATACAGAAATTAAAATTGAAAAGCGCACCGTCATTTCAAGACACTCCGCATCATCCACCGAACAAAAAGTTATAGTGCATCTAAAATCAACCGTTGATCTATCAGGGAACTTGAAGATGTAGGCATCCACTTGGGCAGTCATCCCGTCTGCTGAATAGGTTGGCGTCTGAAGCATCAGCCGATCGAGAGTACATCCATGTTCATCAATCACTTCGAACTGTTGTCCTGCTCCATCTTTCACAAAACATTGATGGATGAGCATTTTCAATTTACTAGCCATTCCTCCTTTACATGTCCATTGATGTCGAACAAGTTCTCCGACGAGACTATTTTGAACAGAGTTACCATTGCTATCAGAGATTAGATAATCACATGATGGGGGTTCCATGGTTCCGTTGATTTCGTGTTCATCGTTCATGCTGAAAAGTTTCAATGAAAACTTTTTTGAATGCCCCTTAAGTTTCCAAAAATTGGGGGTTGTCAGAAACATTTCATACTGACAGTTTTTAATCACTAAACTCAAGAATAGCTCTCTGCAGTTTTGCTATAAAGACATATATTTCAGTTTCAAACTTCACCCAATTTTCTGTCCCAATTTTCTGACCCAACTCACTTGACGTCCAAATCCGTACTGACTGTCTTCTCAGCTTCGGCATAAGCGCATTGGATATGATACGCTTTGTCCAACTTTGTGATAAAACTGTCATGGAACGAAACGACAGCAATCAAGGATACGACCACAGATGGAGGATTTAACTGAAAAAAAGAAGACGTGACCCAGAAAGTGAATCCCAGAAAAGTGTCCTTGAAAAACACGCACACTTCTAGTAGTTCAATGTTTGTATGGAAACGCTTTCGAAAAAAAACCGGATCAAGCAGAATATGTTGACGCATAATTGGCACATAATAAGCGATTCCAGAAAGCAGCAAGGAAAATATAGCTTACCTTCCTGTCACGTTTTGTATTACAGGAATTGAGAGGAACTTCCAAACGGATTGAATTTGTAGCTCGACGAGTTCGTCTTTCTTCACAAACACAAGGCGCACATGTTGTTGGAGGTGGGCAGTTTGAGGATGCTAAGGGTCTGAATTTACAGAAATATCAGCTCTGAACAGCTTGGAGTCTATGCAAAAACTCACGATGCAGTTGTTGCTGGTCGTCCCCTTGGTGTTGCAGAAGAACCTCCTCCTTTTCCGAAAACTCTCAACTCTTCTCCACGAGTTCCTCCAAAAACTGCGTTTCCGCCCGTCGAAACTCCTCCTATTCCTTGCCATTCTCCCTCATCTGAATCAGATTTTAAAGATTCCGCCGTCAGGTTCCGTCGAGGCAACAGGAATGCTGCCGCTATATTCGGAGGAAGCTCATTTTCATGAGTTTCGAATGTTTTCCTCGGCTCAGTGGTCGAATCTAATTCAAAAATCGGCTCTCTTCCATCAGAAAGAGTTTTCGTAGTTGACCTTTGATCCTCCACATACGGCTCTCTCGACTTTTTGACCGTTCCAAGAAATGGTTCCTCGAGAGGCTTGTCACTGGTCACTACTCCATTCCGAAAGGTTTTTGTGCATTGCGGATTCGCGTAGTCTCCTTTGACGAACACTTTTCCAGTGAATAGCCGTTCTGTGATCACTTCGATCACAATTCGGTCACGTTGACACGAAATGGATGGTTGACCTGGAGAAAACAAAACAAAGGTATGATTGGAGAACGGAGGAAGAGATACCCACCAATTATCGCATTGTCAAATGTTGACTGACTTTTTGCTCCGTTGGATTCTGTTGCCTGGAAGAATTGAATGCTTTGAAGAGAAAACTTTTTTAAAAATTGAATAGAGCCTACTTTTATAGATTGATCTACGTATTGAAACCTTAATATGAGCATAAAACATAAAACAACTTTCGAACCGCAAAAAAGCAAAAAAAAGATAGTAAGAAAATTTTATAGTTCAATGAAGACTGGTTTTGTTAGGCTAAAGAAAATTGGCAGTTTTCAAAAGAATTTTGAACGTTCTCTACCAAAAACATAACGTTTTATTTTACCGTATTTCCTCTAGTGGAAGGGCACTCAAACTGTCAACTTCAAGGTCAATTTGCTCGATTCCTGTGAAATAGATCAAAAAGTAGTCCATTGATTAATTGTTGATCATAACGTACCAAACATTTTATCAGTTGACACATTTTTAATATCTTGCATAGGAGCCAAGAAAAAAATTAGTTCAAACTTGACAGTGTAGAGAGCCCTTCTATTACAGGTTTTACGGTAGCTATCCTAACATGGGACGAATTCAATCTTTATGAGAAGTGACCTCCAATTAGAAGAAATAAAACGAAAGGTTTTAAAACAGGAGTAAACAGACGATGGCAAATATTTAGACGATTTTTTGATTCTCAAAAATTCGGAATCTGCTAAAACTTGACAATAAACATGGCAGTTAAGTTTTATCATTCCAAAAAGTTGATCGAAAATTGGAAACCTACCGAAAATGTAACTACAAGAAGCAGTATGGAATACAAGATCATTTACGAGTGCAAACTTAACAGAACTGTACTCGCCGGAGGCATGCGGAGGGGAAATGCGTGTCTAAAGAGGTTACGTCTTCTCTCCGCGAAACCAGACTCCGCCCACTTGTGTCGCCTTGTTTGAATGACGAAGAAAATTGGTGTGGAATGAATATGGAGATGAAGATGATGTGGACGAAAAAGAAGAAGAAGACAAACTGTTTGTGCAACTCCTAGACCTAGTTTTCTTTTCCTTTTCTTTTCTCTTTTAAAATGAAATGAATATCGACGTTTTCGTGCATCCGGAGAATCGAGGGGAGTTGTTCAGAGGATGATCAACGAATAAGTACAGAAAGTAGGTAAGTAGGCACTCTTGATGAACTATATTCAAAAGAGAGTTTAGAAAGTTTCCGAATAGTTCAAACTATTATGATGATGTTGCCAAAATGAAGTGGAAGTTGTTCAAAATTCAAGAGCCTTCAAGTACCGTTTTTCTCTAAAAGAAGCCTATCATGACCGTCGAGTTATCTCGATTGCTGTGAAAGATATCAGTTATTTCTCAATTAAAAAAAAAGGTATCATAATATCACCAACATTTTATCAGTTGGAACATTTTTGATATCTTTCACAGGAATCAAGATAAATGAGCTTATAGTCGCAAAAAGCTAGAGAAACTACTTGAACCAAAATAAAAAACAATGCCGAGACTAACTTCCTGGAACTTAAAATTTTGAAACATTTTAACAAAAATTTATTACTGAAAAAGTTTCAGAATGCAAAAGTCTTCAAATATGTGATTGTTAACCCAAACTATTATCTCAGCACAAAGTATTTTGCAGGCTTTCGTTCTGTCCATGATTTGCATTTATCATACCGTATACAATCTAATAGAAGTCCATACAACTTTGAGCCTATATATATATATATATATATATTAGGTTGGCGGGAAAGTCTTTGTCACTCTGTTTGTTTAATCACTGTTCTCGTATATGGAGGCTGTGTATGATATCGACTCTAGTGAATAACAAGGTGATAAGAACCTTCCATATAAACAAGTCCCCATCTCCTTCCCTGCTCCTCATCTGTAATTGAAACGATATGTTTGTTCCCACTGCTATTCACATCAGACATGTTTTGATTTACCTCTTCCTATCTCACACCACGATGAAGGATTCGGAAACTTTCTTGAAGAATGTGTACAACACACATGCCCCTCACTACAATACTATTCGCAATTGGTTCCATCGTTTCGAAAAAGTGACTTCTCGCTCGATGAAAAGGATCGCTCTGGGAGACCCCGTGAGTTGGATTTGGACAAGCTGAAGCACGCATTGCAATCGGATCCATTTCAATCTAGCCGTGAACTAGCTGTCACATTCGGAGTTCACCATAGCACAGTCCTTGAAGGTTTGAAGTCTCTTGGAATGAGAAAACTTTTTGGTCGATTCATACCTCATCACCTGACTCAAGCCAACCTTGACCGCCGAGTCGACGATTCGATTACTCTTCTCACTCTCCACGCGGGCGATCGATGGCTGGACCGGCTAATAACCGGAGATGAGAAGTGGGTCTTCTACGATAATCACCACAGGAAATCCCAGTGGGTTGGAGAAGGAGAGAGCCCACAGGATGTCCCAAAACCCGACCTTCATCCGAAAAAAGTTATGCTCTCTGTGTGGTGGGGAGTGGACGGCCCCATCTACTGGGAACTTCTGCCCGAGGGCAAAACAATAACTGGAGACCTCTACACTACTCAACTACGAAACCTCAAGAAAGCAGTCGACCGTTCGGCCCTGAAAGACAAGAAAGTGTACTATCAACATGATAACGCTCGCCCACATGTTTCGAAACAAGTGAAGCAGGAGCTGATGGGATATGGATGGAATGTTCTCCCTCACCCCCCGTATTCTCCTGATCTTGCTCCTTCCGACTATTGGTTATTTGGCGATATGACACGTGCCTTCGAAGGAAGAAGCTTCAATTCCCGTGGAGCGGTCGAAGCGGCACTCAAACAATACGTTGCCTCACGCCCGGCTGGATTCTACCGCAATGGAATCCATAAATTGAGGGAACGTTGGAGACATGTTGTTGATAATGATGGACAATATAATTAATTATTCGGTTATTTTTTCTTTGAGAAATAAACTATTGAAAAAGTGACAAAGACTTTCCCGCCAACCTAATATCTAATTACCTGTAAAAGATATCAAAATGGGGTCAACTGACAAAACATTGTTAATGTTATGATGCATATTTTCTCAGTTGACTACTTTTTGATATCTTTTTAGAGGAACCGAGATATATAAGTTTAACTTTGACAGTTAGTGTGGCACTCTATCAGAATGTTTACAGTAAGTTTCTCCACGAACAAGCAAAACAAGCTTGAACCAAATTTTCTCAGGGATTCCCTACAGTAACCTTTTCCCATCTATTCCACATACCCATATATCATTCACCACCTTTCCTCAAGGTCCATCCTCGCTTTTCTCTCTTTCTCGAGACGGACTCTTAATACCATAAAACATGCATGATCCTCTGAGAGGTTCCTCTCAATTTGCGCAAAACAATATGGACGCGCGAATTTCAAGTTGATTTGTTTAATGTATTCTTTCCTGTCATCATCCTCTTCTTATTCTTCTTCTTCAAAAGTCTTCTTTTTTCGTTCATTCGTTCATCCGATTCGTCCTTGCACACTGTAATTAGTGACCGAAGGTAGAGAGGGGTCGTTCCTGCCCTTGCACACACGCAACCGTCCCTTTCCAACAATAGTCATGATGGGCAGACTCGATCGTATAACGCTCGTTTTCTTTTGTATTCATCGACGCCTTCTCGAGAGAAAGAAGACGATTCGGGAAGGAACGAGCCCTCCTCTCTTCTTTTGAATTCCATTCTATTGTAATTGGTAGGTTGTATAACTAAAGTGCAACATCGCAACACGTGGTGTTTTGACACTTGAACAAGAGGGACTAATAGATTCAAGGAAGGACATATGGAGCCTAAGGTATTAATGGATCTCTTCTTTGCAGAGTTTGTATGCACAGTGAACCTGTAGAATTTTTGAACTACTCGGACGTTAACTTCTGATCGGACAAATCTAAATCTCCAAGTACTCAACTTCTCAACTTTGGAAACACTTGAATTCTGAATTTTCAAAATTCGCAAAAGCGTAATTTCATAATTCCAGATTCCCTAAGTTCGGAAAATAGAAAATGGAAAGCTTAAGAATTTAGAAATTCAGGAATTCAAAAATTCAGAAAAGGAGTAAGATTTTGATCTGAAAAATAATTCTTTAGTTTTTTTAGCTTTCGAACTTCCAAGATTTTTAATTTACCAATATCTGACCTCATAGTTCTAGGATGTTTGAATAGGTTTACGCCCGTCCGGGACTAAACCTCTTGCCTTCGCTTACAGTACCCGTAATCTAATAAAGATGTTTTTTCCTTTAGAACAGAAATTTATTATGATCGGACTCTGGTCTGGTTGGTTAGATTTCAGATAAGACTGATACTAAAACCTAACAAACTCCGACAAACTAATGACAAGGTTGGGACCTAGGTTCCGACCAGAATCTATCCATGGCCCGCTATACAGCCGTTTTTGGGCAAGCTCTGGCCAGAACTGGACCAATATCCGTCCAAAACTATCCGTCCAAACCAGAAGTTACAAGACAACAGAGTTGAGATGTTATTTCTTACTATTAGTTTTTTTCAAAACAAAAAATTGCAAATAGAATACTTTCAGACAATTAATTTATTCACAAAGTTCAAATCAATCATTTTCTAGGCGTTGGAGGAATCATCATAGCGGGAGCCGCCACTGATCCATTAAACGGCGGTGTCGGATGTTGAACTTTGGCAGTCATCGTAGTCGGATTATGCTTCGACACGGCACCTGGTTTTACAGAATCATTATCTGATTTGTGACGATGTACAGGCACTCTTCTAACACTTTGCTTGATAGTAGTGGGTGGTTGAGGAACTGCTGTCAATGGCTTCAAACTCAAATGATGAGTTGGAGAACGAGCACCCGGACCAGTTGGAGCCAACGGTTTGAGACTGTTGTGTTCTCCAGTGGAACGTTGAGCAGGTGTTGTTGGTTTAACGCTGATAGTTGTGCCTGCTTTGTGATGATTCTCATTCGAGTTTTTGAGGACTGGCGCCGGCAAAATAGTTGGTTTTGGAATGGGTTTCGGAGCTGGAGGCGGCCCTTCTTTTTCGATAATTGTGTCATCACTTTTGGACACGGATTCATCTCTTGGCTGTTCTTGTTCACCCGGTGTTGGGAAGTCTCTCATCGTGTACAGCGGGGCTGTTCCTGGTTTTGGAAGATCTAGCAGTTCTGATAGATCCACTTTCTTCTTACTTTTTTTATGTTTCACCACTCTGGAAATAAACACAAATCGATTATGAGAAGTGAGGCTTATGAAACGAACGCTGCCAGAGGCTTGAAAATGTTTTCATACGGTCCCCCATTCTGCCAATCCAGTGGCATATCCGGAGTGAACTTGTTCTTAATCATGATTTGACATAAAACTCCCCGAATTTTCGCGTAATCTAAAAACATCAGAATCTGTGAAAATATAAAGTTTTTCCCTGACCAGGTTCTCTTGAATAACACAAAGACGTCAGATAGCAGCGAATCATCTGAAATTCCAGTGGACATTTCCCCAAAAGTGAATCAATTTTCGACTCTTTTTCTTTTTTCGTGTTCTCTTTTGTCATATTTTCCCATGGCAAGTCAGACAAATGAAACTCGATCATCATGTAGAGAAGTGACCAGAAGTCGTCGTGACGTCCCGGTTCCATTCTCTGGTGAATATTCAGAGAACAATAAGGAATGGTCCCGCGGAATGGAGCTTTCATACGTGGCTTTCGAAGCTCTTTGCTTTTGTTCTGAACTCATAAGAAATATGGGGAGTCAGAAGAATAAACTTACAAACATATTCCGGCACAATCCAAAATCCAAAACATAAACCAATTTCTCTTCATCCGAACCAAGCACTCCAATTGCAAAATTTGATGGTTTGACATCTCGATGAATGTATCTGGAAAGAGAATTAGGTCAAACGGCACACTGAATTATACCAGTTACCCAAGTCTTTGAATTTCCACCAACGAATCGAAGCACTGAATTCCACAAACCGTTGTAGTATACAAGGTGAATGACTGAAATGAAATTGGTTTTATTTCGGAAGAACCAGGAAATTGAGTCCAATTTCCATTACTGTACATAGCCCCATATAAAAAATCACCCAATTTGACCTACCTTATTCGGAATATTCTTCCTCAAGTCGGCTAACGATGGACCGACAAGATGCATGATGATGTAGTTGTAATTCCTCTCACTTCCCAATTCAACGCCGATAATGTTATGTTTCGATTTGTTATCCTTTAGTAATGTCATCAGATCCCATTCTGTTTTCAGATTATTATGTGCTAGTGCCAGCTCGGCTTTACAGGCGAATCGGACGTTCGGAGAGTCACGACGAATCACTTCGTAGACCACTCCGTATCCACCTTTGCCAATCATTTGGACCATCTGGACAAGGATTTTAATACATAAACTCTCTATTCTGAATTTACCACAAATTGCCCGTTTATGATAGTAGATAATTTACACGCAGGTCCCTTTTCTTTTGGCTTCGGAGCTGGCGGCGTCAGAACAGCTGGAGTCGCTGGAGTTGCTACGACCGGGGCGATTGTTGCTGCCATTTTTAAACAGAACCAATAACAAAATAAACCAGTTTTATTCACAAAGTTTGATATAAAAATATTAGCGACAAGTTCATAAGGATTCTGTTTTGGCAACACGTGATGAGATCATTCGGGTGGAAAACTTGGAGGAGAAGGGATGAAACATAGGGAATGACTATCAATTATATTATGACTAAATTAGATGACTAGCGTTGATATAGGTTAATCTGTTTGCTCATTTTCTGCAGTTCGGAGCATAATATACCCGTTTTCATCTGTAGCATTGCCAAGTGGATTTTCGAACGACATAGGGATCTGGAAAATAAATTTTATAGAGGAGGAATAAAGATCCAAAGTACCTCAGCAGGTTCGATGAGAGGTCGACCAGCTCCTTCAATTCGGAATACAATAGCAATGGTGGCAAAGTGGACTGAAATTATTTATAACTCTTATCTGTAGACTCATATTTAAGACTTACAGAACATTGCCATATACTCCACAAGGGCGTGTATTGTCCATGTAAGTGGTTGGTTTCCAATATCTTTGTAATCGATTTGAGTCAGAATGTCTAACGCTCTGATAACTGATAAAATGATGAGAGCACAACTGAGAATTGGGAATCGAGACAAATGTTCTGCTACCAGCACCTGAAAAAAATCGATGTTTCCTTATCCTAAACAGTCTAATAAACGCCAGCCCAACTTTTAACTTTGAGCCTATATATCTAGGCTTCTGGGAAAGATATCAAAAATTAGTTAACTGACAAAACAGTTCTGACATTATGATAAACATTTTGTCAGTTGGCCCCTTCTTGATTTCTTTTACAGAAACTGAGATACATCAACTCCAAGTTAGCGGTGTGAGTGGGAAAGTTTCCTTACTTGAAATAAAGCATATGAAGTGATCGAAAGGGCAAGAACCACATGGAATAATTGAGAATAAATAGTGACTAGTGGATGAGGACTTTTGGTTCGGAAGAAGACGTAGAAGGCCAGAGACAGCACGAAAACTGCTGAGAAGAGCATAACCACTCCGAGTCCTAACACACTTTTCTCGTGTTTCTTCTTCACTAAAATCTCTTCTGTGGATTCTTCGGTGTTGTCCGGTGGTGGGAGGGCGGTTCTAGAAAGCTTTCAAAAGTTTAATAGGTTTGAAAAACTTGGCTTTTTACCTTGCCAAGTATGCCAAAAACAAAACAAGAACACTGGATCCAATGAATGATAACACATTTAATGAGGTTTCTATTGTGTGCACACTCGAAGCTGAAAATGTATGGTTCATAATTTTATTTGATTTATTAATTAATTTAACTGTTCCACTCACTTTCAGTCCCATTATCATATTTGTCTGCTGGTAAAACCAAAAACTCGGAGCTCGTGCCATCAATGAAATACCCGTTAAATTGAAGGTAGATGTAGGAAAAGATGTGGAGATATGTTGCGTTGATAGCTAGAATTCCAATGACTAAAGAAGCAGCAATCGTGATGTAATTGAACTTGGTAGCCACACTCAATCCAGTGAAAAGAGACATGAATGCAGTGAGAAATGGGAGCTGAAAATGATGGGACTACAAAAAGGTATTGATAATTTTGAAAATTACTTTTTGCTCGCTGCTGTGGAAGATTTTGTAGAATTGTTTGGTGAATAGTGCATACAAATTGACATTGACCAGAGAAAGGGAAATGGTTAGGAAGAAAACTGAGAAGCCCATGAAGATCACTTTGTTCAAATGGGTCAGCTGAACACGCGTGGCATCTCTTCTGGTCATCTGAAAATGGATTTTAGATGACAGCCCTTCCATTGACGGCCTTTCCACTTCCACTTATTACAGGGCCCTTGTTTTTCCGGCCATTTTTTTCGAAAATTTTCATCGACAAATTTTGTGAATCAATATTTAAAGTTTATGAAAATTCATCAAATTTCACCAAAATTGAGCAATTTTTTCATCAAAAAAGAGTGTTGCAACTAATAATATTTTTCACTGAAAACGTACGGAAATTTTTAATTTCAAACAACACATTATGAAAGGGGCCCTTCTACTTTTCCGACCCTTATCGGAGGGTCCTTCTATTAGAGGGACCCTTCTATTACAAATTTTACAGTAATAATTTTCCAGATAAAACTCACAATGAATGTAAGAAAGATGGTCAGAAGAACAAACATGTGGGGAATTGCGATCATCAAAGAGGTGATGGCTTGACGGAAGAGGAACTTTGAGTGTGCAGATGTCATGATTCTGAAATTAGAGATTCTTCATTAGGTTTTCTCCAAAACATCGAAAACCTACCTATAATCCAGCCAAGCATAGAAAAATGAGGGATAAATAGTTGCCCCAGACAAAACAAACGATGTACTTTGAATGATTTGATTTGATCTTGAAGACAAAAACACAAAAACTCCGGTAGCCAAATTGATAACAAGCCAAGAGAACTCATCAATTGTGTGCATGTCCAGAAATATTGCCTGCTTGTGATTCACCATGATAAGTCGTTGCCACATATGATTTGCTAATCCAGTGACTGTCATGATAATCAGTGCAACTCCATAGCCTTGGAAGCGGCGACTATCAGTCTGGAAAAATATTTGAATAAGGGGGAGAAGGCAAGAGAAAGTAAACTGACAAATGTACATTCGGAGAAGCCTCGATACGATTGACAATCAGTTTATGAGACATGCATGCGGCAAGAACGCATATTGCCAAATCTAGACAGTTGTATGCAAACAGATGGTCTCTCTGAAATATTTAGCAGATCAGAAAAGTCTTAAAAAAGCCAAAGATTAGTTAGCCCAGCGAGGAGAGGCATTTTCAAGCGACAATTTCAGACGGACAAGACACGAATCAAGTGAGATAAAGCATTGAAGCAAATGTGTTATACGGCTAACAAACTAACAAATTTCTGGGCCAACTTGGCAAGATGCTCCGATATTTCCTTCGATGGCTGGGGGATTTCCTTCAAGGTATAAGATTCAAGTTTTTAAAATTCTAGAAGATTTGCTTTAAAAAAAAACAAACCGTTTCAATTTCATCATCGCTGATAAAATTAGAGAGTATTCCAGTGTTGTTTGGAGTTCCAAATGTTTTGATGGCTAGATTTCCAAGGTCTGCAAACGCACAACTGACGCAAATGCAGAAGCTGAGCACGTTGACAACGACTATGGCAGTTTCAGATCTAAAACAGTTGGCTCATACGCAAGATATAAAAAATATGTTAACTGATAAAATGTTTGTGATATTTTCATAAATAATTTATTAGTTGATAGCTTTTTAATATCTTTTAAAAGAATCACGATAAATTGGCTCAAAGTTTGAAGTCAGGTGGCCCTTCTATTACAGGTTCTACGGTATTTTGAAAAGATGGGTTTTTCAATCGATTTTTCCATTTTGGAAGTGTGAAACATTTTGTGAACTTGTAATCGAATGACAACTAAAAAAAAGTTCAAAAATTTTTGATATCTCTTACAGTAACCGGGACCCTTCTGATAAAGTCTTATTGAAAAGACTTACTTCAAAGTTTTTTGTGGGAAAATGAACGGAGAAAGCCCAGCCAAGAAGATAATTGTGTTGATCCAGTGGATATTGATAACTGAGAAATGACTGAAAAATTAATATTTTTCAAATCCAAAAAGCTCAAATTTCTCTTACTGCATCAGTTCCATAGGTTTTGTGATAGTGGAGACTAGTGCATTGAGAAGGGCAAGTGTTCCAAGTGCCAGTAGAAAATACCAGTACTTCCGGTCATTTTTCATCTGAATACTTCCATTTTCAGAAAACACCAGAACCATCTGACCAGTTATAGGATGGAGTTCCCAACACGTTTTTTTTTCGGGAAAGGTGACAGAGAGCCAAAAAAAAGGAAGTGGGAGGAGAAAGAAACGTAAATAAAGACTCTCCGGAGAGAGATGCATTTCGTCTATCCTAGACAGTATAGAGGTCGAGAGATGGAGAGGGCGAAAAAGGGAAACAAACACAAAAATATATGGAGTTGTTGAGCACAAAAAACTTGCGATAATTTCGAGTGAAAAAAAGGATCAAAAAATATATAGGTCGACGCAGACACAACTTTTTGTTTGTTTGTCAACAGGGAGGAGAGAAAAAGATTGTGGAGAGGAAAGAAGCAGTGTTTTCTAATTAAAAACAACTACTGTTCCGAAAGATTGTATAGTTTTTGTAAGGCTGGTAAGAAACGGCAAAATTAGAATTTCAGAACTACCGAATTTGTAGGGAAGAAGGACTTTTGTTTATTACCGTAAAACCGGTGATAGAAGTATTGTCAAGTTAGAGCTCAGTTATCTCAATTCCTATGCAAGATATCAAAATGTATCAATTGATAAAATGTTTGTGTTATTATAATAAACAGTTTATTAGTTAACAACTTTTTGGTACCTTCGACAGGAACCGAGATAAATTGGCTCAAAGTTAAAAGTTAGGAGCTCTTCTATTAAATGTTTTACGGTAAACATGGTAAATGAGAAACTAGAAAGATAAAAAAGGGAAATTCTAGGATTTTTTTTCGCTTTTTGAGATACTGTTAAGTAGTGATACATGCTAATGTGTAAATTTCAGACTACCATAACGATTTTAGGGTTTTCAAAATGCTGTTTCTGATAGAACACATTCTGAAAATCGAAAAATTCGAATTTTTTGAAAAGATTAATCATTGGATTTTTTTCGATTTTCAGAAAGTGTTCTATAAGAAAATCAAAGTTGAAAACTCTAACATCGTGTTTGTAATCTGAGACTCATCCATTCGCCTGTATAACCACGGTTTCAAACTGACTGGCTTCGAAGTGTCGCGGTTTCGAAGTGACGAGCCTTATTTATCAAAAAGATAACTACAAAGTTCTGAAAATCGCGTACGAGTTGTTCGAAAATTTCGTCTCCGAACACCACAAGACAATAAAATTGAACAGAAAGAAGAGTGAGCGGCAAGAAAAAAAAAAGATCGGTTTCGTTTTGTGACATCAATAAAAATACAAATATTGTGTATTTCAAAACTCTTTTTTCCATAGACGGAACAATGAATATGGAAATCGTTTTTGAAAATTGTATAGTTTTTATTTTGCAGTCTCTCATTCTCTCTATATTTTTTTCGAGTTTTTCGATCTTTTTTGATCAGACAGACAAACAATTCGAAATACGAAAAAAAATGGAAAAAATTATATTGAGAGCTCAAAATTTGGCTCAAATGTACAGAATTTTTGAAACCGGGCCTTCCGGGCCGGCCCGGGCCTTGAAAATTTCCTCAGGCCCGGCCCGGCCCGGAATTTTACAAGTATGTCTATTTCTCTTCTTCAGAAAAAAAACCGTTCGCGATGATGAAACATAACATGAAGAGTCTTATCGGAGAGAACTTGTACTTTTTAAATAATTTGTTCCTGATAAAAGAAATGATTCAATTATATTTCTTTCAAAGTAACACCAAAGAATGAATGGTAGTGTTTCCAAAAAGAGTAAGAGGAAATAAATCGGAAAAATATAATTGCAGGTTTTTCAGATTCTCAGAATTCGTTTGAAAAAAGATGGAAGAAAAGCAAAAGTAAAGTCCTCATAAGGATGAAGATAACTTCCAAAAATTGCAAAACTTAAAAATAAAAGTTCTGTGGAAACTGGAAATTCTTTTTTGATGGATATCAGAAAAAATTATGATTTTTTTAACTGAAACAAAACTAAAAAACACTGGATGTTTAGAATCACTAGAAAATATACCGTATAACATGTATCAGAAGAGCCCCTAACTTTTGACTTCGAGCCAGTTTATCTCGGTTCCTGTCGAAGATACAAAATGTTGTCAACAGATAAGTTGCATATTATAATATCTCAAACATTTTATCAGTTGACCCATTTTGGATATCTTCCTTAGGAATTGAAATCATTGAGCTCAAACATGACATTGTGGGACACAGGTTTTACGGTAATGCAAAACTTTAGAATCGCTAGAAAAAATACCCTAAGACCTGTATGCGAAAGACCCCTTTAAGAAAGGGCCCCTCTAATATAAGGGCCCTTTTAAGAGAAGGGTCCCTCTAATAGATCGATCTGTTGTTTGAAACTAAACATTTCCGTACATTTTCAGTGATAAATGTTCCGGAAATATCAAAATTATACATACAGTGGCGAGTAGTGGTGAGGAGAATTTTTTCGAACATTCATAACTTTGAAAAAAATTGCTCAATTGCTTTGAAATTTTGCATGAGAATAGCTGTAAAATCCAAAAACATAAAAATCGGTTTTTTGAAAATTTATCTTTCTCAGAATTTTCAGAGCAGTTTCAGATGTAACAGTGGTTCGAGAATCTAAAAAAACTTTTTTCCAGAATTTTTTCTGGCTCTGATTTTAGATATAACATGATTCTCAGTGTTTAAATATGCACCAAAAAAGTTTAGAAGAATTTTGGAAATCGGGCTCTCGAGTTATGATGCTCAGAGCACAAAAGGTATGCGTCGGCATTTTTGCCATAACTCAGCTGAAAATGTATTTTTGATGCTCAAAATTTCACAAATTATGTGTTTTGAGTTGTTCATCAACATGGTGTTCAAAATTTTACAATTGTAAAAAATGTTATCTCAATTTTTTCGATTTCAGAGATTTTCCTTAGAGGTGAAAAAAATGAAAAATTTCTGAGCATCATAACAATTTCTGAGCATCATAACTCAAGAGCCCGATTTCCAAAATTCTTCAAGACTTTTTTGGTGCATATTTGGACACTGAGAATCATGTTACTTCTAAAGTCAAAGCCTGAGAAAATTCTGGGAAAATTTTTTTTTGGATTCTCGGACCACTGTTACATCTGAAACTGCTCTGAAAGTTCTGAGAAAGATAAATTTTCAAAAAACCGATTTTTATGTTTTTGGATTTTACAGCTATTCTCATGCAATCTTTCAAGTCGATTAAGCAATTTTGAACTAAGTTATGAATGTTCGAAAAAATTCTCCTCACCACTTCTCGCCACTGTAAATTAGTTTAAAAACTCGCTTAATTTTGATGAAATTGACAAATTGAGGTATCATGGAACAATAGAAGAACCAGTCCATTTAATACAGGTTTTTCGGTAAATGTTCAGGAACTTTTTGTCGGCTAGTATTATTGAGAAATTATCATGCGCTTCATTTTCAGATATTTGAATAGAACATTGATTAGGCCCAGAGACTCAGTTTTTAGACTTGAAATCTCAAAGAAAAAGAGTAATTTATTATTCAAAAATGAGCAATTGGAAACCGAAATTGAGAACTTTAAAGAAAAAAGAGAACTTGATTTCATGCTTTCCATCAAAAGAGATAACAAGTAGTTTTTGGTTTCTGCTTCCTTTTTTTTTTGAAAAAAGAGCGTTCATTGAATGAGTGACACTTCCTCGACAACTTTCCTTCCGAGTTTTGTCTTCAAAAAGAACTCACATGAAACTTGAAAACGATCCGATTCCAGATCCATTGACAATGCATTTCGTAGCAGAATCAGGTCAAGAGCAATATGTATAAAAGTGGGACAAATAGAGGACAACTATGTATGGATATGAAATGAAATGAGGGGATGAAGAAGGCGATGGAAGGGGATGGTGGAAGAAGAAGAGGACTCATTAAATTCTATTTTTGAAATGGAGCAAAAAAAAAAGAAGAAAAAGCAAAAAGAAAGAAGTAGAGAAGAAGAAGAGAATGCCCCGTGGGTGTATGTGTTGTAGGGCATGTAATTGGAGGGCAATAGTAGTTGTTGGTGAGAGCTCAAAAATGGAAAAGAACATGTTTCGTTTTCCTAGTTTTCTTTTTCGGGAGAAAAATGGAAAAGAATGGGAAAAATAGAAGGGGTTGTTGGGGTTGGTTGTAGTGTTGCCCCCGTACAAATACACCGAATAACAACTAGTTTTGTATTAGGAAAAAGAAGAGGCGAGTGTTGAGAAGAGGAGAGTAGAAGAAGAAAAAGAAGAAGAAGAAGATGTGTTGTTGTCTCGAAAAATGACCAAAAGATAGAGAAATGAAACAACACTCATTTGATTAGAGACATGACCTGTACTATTTTTTTCGGGTCATTCCTGAAGAAATTTGATTCTACTTGTTCCAATTTTTCCACTGTGGAGTCTTTGTCGTTCTTCTACTTCTGAGTTTTTTTCTTGATAAATAGGAAAATCAGTTTTGTAAAATTCGTTTACTTTTAGAAAAAAAACTATTTAAAAAGTTTTCCATTAAATGTAAATAGATCAATCGGAATTTTGAAATTTTAGAAACACCAATAACCATTGTGATCAACAATAGTTTTTCTAGATGAGATGGAAAATAAATAAGTGAGACGCAGTCAAAAAAGTGTACGATAGAAATCAGTGAAATTTCAGAAGTTTTTTTTTTTTTTTGCAAAAATTGATTTACCGGATTCTGAAATGTGGCTGGAATTATTGGTCTATCAAGGTATAAATTAAAATTTACACTTTGAAACCGAACGATGGGTTACTGTAACATCTTGCTGAACCATTTAAATAAATCTACAAATAAGTCTTATTTTGAAAACCAAAGTTCGAAAAAACTTGAGCAGTGACGTTGACCAAACGAAAATAAAAGATCCCATTAACATGGAGAGAAGAGGTACTTGAAGTGACTTCCCTATCATTTGGACTACTTGTTTTCTTATTCATTTGCCAGGCAGAAACTATAAACGCTTTAATATGTCTCAAAGGCAGAAATTCTACAGTAACCCAAATCAAACTTTGAATGAAAATGTTTGGAAAAAAAATTCCTACAGACTGTTAGGTTAATTTGAAGAATGTGACCATTGAATTACTTAAAAACTGGGTGAGACCTCTCGCGTCATCGGAAACTGGTTCTGAATGATGCTAATGGTCAGATGAACTTTGAAAACGGAATGTGTAACACTTGAATTCTTATGGCAATTCGATAAATAAAATCTCTTTTACCGTGTTTGTTCTTTTAGAAGCCCATCTTATACGCTCACTTTGAGCTCAATTATCTCGGTTTTTCCAGAGATATCAAAAAGTGGTCAACTGATAAAATGTTTGTCATAATATCACTAATATTTCATTTGTTAATTAGTTTTTGATATCTTTCATGGCGATCGAGATAATTGAGCTCAAAGTGAACAGGATTCTATCAGAGCACTTATGGTAACTTGAAATATGTTCTACCAAAGTGCTTTCAAAATCTTCTTCTCCTTCTTTATGTGTTTATAAACAGCAAAAAAAGAAAAAAATGAGGGAATGTACGTTCAATATATCTGGAAAGCAAGGCCGAAACACAAAATCTTTTTATCACCGGAAATTTCATTTCCGGTTCGTCTGCCGATCCTATTTATTGTTCCTCAAAAGAAATATTCCATATGACACACTGGAATGCATTTATAACGAACAACCTCATTATTTTACAGGTTATGGGAACTAGTTTTTGCCATGGAGGGAACTATCCGTCAACGTTCAATTCCCTCATGATTCAAAGGACTGAAAAGAGAGGGGAAACGAAATGTGGAAACTAATAATTAAGTGCGAGATCTTTTTTTTCAAAGAATGCCATGTGCTCTGGAGCGAAAATTGTGGCACCGAAATGATGGAAAGGTGTGAAGTGAGATGAGAAGTTTCCTATTGATTTGAGGAAGAAAACGGAGAGGAAGACAACGAGAAGACAGCCGGGAATGAGATGAGAAAAGACGGATCAGTTGAGGTGGACATGAGGAGATTTCGTGTGAGAATAGGAGACGCAGAGATGGGTTCGAAATGACTTGTGACTTGTTTTTCGGGTGTTCAATATTTATCCCTTCCACAAATCATATGTATCAGTTTATCATTAAGAAGAATTCAAGTTGAGTTGACGGAGAAGAGTCTGTTTTGCAAGGAATATCTAAATTTTACAATGGGGCTCCGAAACTGAGCAAAAAAAACAAATGAGAGTTACTCACAAAAGAGCCCAACACCTTTTTTTTGAAAAACAAATTTTGTTCTTTATTACAATGAGTTCAGCTTTGTTTTGTAAATAGGTGTGAAGAGAATGAGTTGTGTTAGAGCGTCTTCTTCTTCTTCTTGCAAAACTAATATTTTCGGTCTCCTCGGATTCCGATTCAGTGTAATTGTGAAGATGAAAACTGTTTAATAAACACATATTCAGAAATCGAGAAGTTCAATTTATTCAGATTCAAACAGGCCTCGCCGGATAATGTAGTTTAGTTAAAATTTCAGCACATTTTGGATGATATTCTTCACAGCCTCAATAAATTATATTTTTCAAATTTATGATTTATTTCTTCCCATTTCATTACGAGGATTACTGTACTTTTTCGTTCGACTTTTTTTTTTGAAAGTTACTGAATGTTTGAAGATTTCTGAACTTCGGATTCATGATCCTTGCAGTTTTTTGTAGTTTTTTGACCCCGAAGATTCTGAGTAAGCAATTCTCCAGGGAAAGCTTTATCTGGAACAGGTGGGGCTCAGCGGCGGAGCCTCAATGGCGAAATGCTAGCACTTCAAGGTCAATTATCTCAATTTCTATGAGAAATTATAAGAAAATATCAACTGGTAAAATGTTGGTGATATCCGCAATTATTGTCGAATTAAAAAAAGTGGGACCTGGAAAATTTCGCGGGCGGCTTCCGGTCAATTTTCGAGGCCTTGCCCCAAAAACATTACGGTAGTAAACGAAACTTATTTTTGTGGATTGGGATTTTCTGGACAAAATTTAGATTTCTTGGTATGAAAATGATCGCTATTGTCTATTCAATGTAGATTTAAATTCAACTCCGAGTCATCCAGAAGAACTTTTGTGAAGTCGTAGAGGAACGATGGAGACGCTTGCTCACAGGTGGTCAATGCAGTATGCAGTTTCTGGAAATTCATCGATATATCTTCGGAAAGTGAAAAATGGAATTACGTTGAGTGCAAGAGAAGCTCTTGGATCGTCTCGGTGCTTCTGTCTGAAATCATGCCGATTGAGATTTAGTTTTAACGACAAAAAATTACTTGATTTTCTCCATAACTGGATTGTACAAGCACTGATAAGTCATTGCTCCAAGATATCCGCCCTCTTCGTTCATGTCGAACTGCTGAAAATCAATATGAATCGGAATAATGGCAATGCGCGCGGAATGGTTCAGTTAAAACGGGCGCATGAGCGTATGATCGATTCGTCCGCAAATATATGAATAGAAATCAGACAGAAGTAGAGAGACGCAGACGCGAAGACAAATGATTTGAGAGAATGTGGTGAAACGAGATGAGAAGAACCAACAGAAATAAAACGAACGGTTGGGTGTGGAATGTGAATAGAGGCAGCTGAGTCACATAAGTTTTGTCTGATAACTGAAAACGCGCTGACATGGGAAGGTGCTGGGGGAAAATATATGTCTTCAAATGACGTCAACATTTAATGTTGACTGATTTTTTTTAATTTCTGCGCAGAATGCTTGTATTCAGGTATTACATAGAGAAATATTTACAGCTGAAAAAATAAAAACCCTATAAAATTTGAAAAAAGTTCGAATTTGAGTTAGGGCGCACTTTCTGACATCCAAAAAGCGAGGCGGAGACCCCGANNACCCAACACCTTTTTTTTGAAAAACAAATTTTGTTCTTTATTACAATGAGTTCAGCTTTGTTTTGTAAATAGGTGTGAAGAGAATGAGTTGTGTTAGAGCGTCTTCTTCTTCTTCTTGCAAAACTAATATTTT